CCAACCACACGCGATGTCCTTTGAACTACGCGGCGAAAATTGCACTGCCAGATTGTTGAGGCTACAGATTTGGTTGGCCTAGGAGGTTCTCGACATTCTGAGCGCTAAAATGGTACACTACCCAATGACAGAGCCTTTAATCAATTCGAAATGTTTTCTTTTTGCTTTTTTTGTTGTATTAGTTACCTCAAAATGCGTCTTTTTCGCTTTTTAATGTTATTTTGACTAATTAAGGGTTTCCCCACTGATTTTTACGTCAAGAGGGACTTCGTAATTTTTCGCGAAGTCATGGTGGGCTTCGTTTCCAGAAACGCTTCAAACCAACGCGTGCCGGGCCCTGACTGAGAGGCTGCAATGAACAGATTCTGTAGCTTAGTACCCAGACTTTTTTGAGCTCAAAATTTTGTAACTTACCAGAGAAGTTATAAAACAGCCTGCAATTTTTATGAGAAAAGGCCTGTAGTAGAGCTCCTCATTCGATCTCAACTGAGGACAGCTTAATTTGAGGCTTTGACAAGTCAGCTCTGCCTCAGTCGAGCCATTGATTGATATTGCCAACTATCCGCGATGGTAAGATTGAGCATGTCACGTCCATGCAAGTATACAAGTCGAAACGCGTTCGCCAAACATGCACATCTATGTGATTGGAACTAGCGGCGGAGATGTGGCCGCACTTGTTAAAACTTGTTGAGTATCGTCAGCTTGCACTGTGGCTCCACTTCGACATGTTAAACTGACGTGTGTTGTAAGTTACTCAAGAGTAACTTACGAGAATTTTCTTTGCGTATCATCATTGGCACACTATTTACATCAATAGGTAGTCTAACTGAATGTGAACTGACTGAAGTAGGGTAGACTACCTCGTCAGGTAGACGGACGGTCAGCTGAAATCTCATTTTGCATTCTTACAACATAGGAAGCTGGTGATAGGCAGTTTACCTTACCGAACCTTGGATGAGGGCTTCAGTTCAGTTCACCTGAACTGAATTAGCTTTACTACGGGCCAAAGTAGGAAGATGGTCTCATAAAGCAGCAAAATTGCAGCCAGCAAGCTTCGATAGCTCCGAAAAAATTGAGATGCGACCCAGATACGACCCCCCTTTTCTTATTTTTTGTTACCATACAAAAAATCATAAGAAAATGCACAGTTTACAAAATAACACCAGATTTCGCACAGTAATAGCAGGGCTTATCTAAAGTACATATAAATTGTAAGGGCCGTATAAATGCATTATAAAAAGATTTACGAATTATTGATTGTCATCGTTGATCTAGATGTGCGCTTTTGTCGAGTGTATGAGACTTTAGTGATGCTTCGGAACCAGTTCTAGGCCAATTAGTAGATTTGACATTCTTGTCACACATGCATGAATATGCTTGAGCTTTTGAAAGTGCCTTTGGAGTCTTCGGTGCTTGTGGCCAGCAAGTTCGATCCCCGCCTGCGACACCTTTTTGCAGGGAGAAAAATGATGTTTTTGGAAAAGTATAGAATGTTTGCGACTAAGAAGCTTATTTCCTACATACCACACTTTTTTAATTTGGACCACCCTCTCTTACGACCCCCCCCCTACCGCCGATGCCCCCTTTACGACCCCTTGCCACAGTCGCATTACACGCTTGACCCTGATACCAACCAGTGGAGGACATCCCGCACTATTCTTCTTCACAAGATAGACGGAAGAGAAAACCTCAAGAATTACCGAGCGATCAGCTTGCTGAGTGTGCTTTACAAGCTGTTCACGAAAATCATCATGTCGCGTATTTTAAGGACATTGGATGAAGCACAACCGACTGAGCAAGCCGGATTCCGTAGAGGATTCAACTGCGTGGATCACATCCAAATCGTCTCAAGGATAGTGGAGGTCTTCCGTGAATACCAACTGCTTCTGCTCCTCACCTTTGTCAATTAAGAAAAGGCCTTCGATAGTATGGAAATCAACGCTGTTTTAGCTGCTTTGATCGACCAAGGCGCGTGAACCCAACAACCATAAGGACTATAGCGGACTGCAATCAAGAATGTGCCAGTACGATACAGCTTTGACCACCCGCTCCACATCCGTATCGAGAAGGAGTCCAACAAGACACATTGTCGCCAAAGCTGTTTACCGCGGTGCTGCAATGGTGCATGCAGTCGCTCGATTGGGAACGAAGGGGATTTGCGTGGATGGAAGGTACCTTTCAAATCTCCGTTTCGCAGACGATATCGTTTTGTTCTCGAAGTCTATTAGCGAAGCCGAAGAGATGCTGAACGAGTCGAACGAAAGCGGGAGAAGGATTGGGCGCAGGATAATTCGAAGGAAGACGCAGTTCATGCGTTCATGAGGAACACCTGGTGCAGTGAAGGTCAGTTATTCTTGGATGGAGCACAGATAGAGGAGATCTCATCTGATGTTAACCTTGGACGCGCCATCAATATGAACAACGACATGAAGAGCTCTGCCGAAGACAGAGAGCAGCTTGGGCAGCATTCGCTCCTCTGAGAGAGGCTGCAGACAACCTTGCTGGTCCGGAATTGCGCGCTCATCTTTTTAAAGGCAGTGTCTCACCAAAATTTAGTTGCCGAGATTTTTGCATTCTGCAAGCCTGTCGACCCTGTCTAGCACTGTATGGGCTTATAATCGCACGAAGATCCCAAAAACCCCGTTTTCTGTAGACCCCGCGGTAGCAACGTGGACGAGTTGTACCTTCCAACTTCAGCCTCAGCCACAGTGGCAGCAACAGAGGGGAGGTGGATGCCAAGTGGAGGGACGTGTTCAAACGCGTAAGGTGAGAGACCGAAGATGTCGTCCGCGCGTACCAACCCGCTCTCCGCGTACCACTTTGAGCGAAGTTTTCTCAGCGTGGAGGGGGCAAAAATGAGTGGGACTTGTTGCATTGGCCTATTCAGAGGTCCCTATAATAGAATATGTGAAGATCCGTGCGACCTCAACTTTGGTGAGACACTGCCTTTAATGCGACAGTGCTCCCGGCCTTGGGTTACGCAGCCGAAACCTGAGCGGTACATCGGCAACCGAAGGCACTGCGAACGGCACACAGGGCACTCGAAAGGAAACTCCTGAAGATGACCAAGTTCAGACAGTATCGACTTGGAATCCGGAGCTCGACCTCAGACAACAATCTCGTCTAGAAGGTCCAGCAGAGTACGTATCGAAGAATAAGCACAGATGGCCCTGTCATGTATTGAGAAGAGAAGACGACAGATGGACAAAAAGAACGATGGAATGGATTCCTAGATCCTCGAAAAGTCCACGCGGAAGACCAACGAAGAGATGGTGTGACGAATTTGTTGCCGGTGTAAACCAACTGCGCCAGCAGTTGGAGTTTAATTCGGGATCGTCCAGCAACAATCGCAACCGCGTACCAAGACAATAATGGATGACGATTGCACGAAGCCGTAACGAATGGTTAAACTTGTGCGATGACGTGTCTGATGGTTTACCTTTCTTATGGCAACACAGTCCTCAACACATTCCCGCTGCGTTTTCCAGTTCTAAGATTCATTTGACCCCCTTCAAAGATGTTGTCATGCAATTTGGTGCATGTCATGAATTGCTGTCACAAGGTTAGTCCTAACTCGCAATGGTTTTGGCTTCCTTGAGTTTCCTTGCCAGTGTCTGAAAGTCCCTGCGACAGTGTTCATCCTGTATATTTGAAACGCTTTATAATGAAAGCAAGAGTGGAAGTCGTCATAAATAAGCCTTTTATCTATTCTGGTCTCAATGCGAAATGTCAAATCTGTCATCCGTAGTATTTCCTTCATGTGCCTTTCTCACGTTGTAAGGGTGCTTTCGTACTGCGCTGACACCAGCCGTTCGCCAGTAGCTCTTGGATGCCGTTGACCATCTTTAATCGTTTCGTTTTTACCGGAATTCAGCGAGATTTCATTCCTCAACAACGCAGTCGTCTACGTCCGCTTTTCCTCCATGTTCTTTTTTATTCCGCTCGTGTGCATTCCGATTCTTATACGTTGCCTTCGTACTTATTGCCGTCAGTATATGTTACCACGGAAGCTTGGCCGATAGTGGGTATGCTATCGGCCAAATTCTCTATAGTGACCTGCCTTGTTTGGAAGGACTTTGTACAACTAGTTTTTTTTTGAATTTGGATGTCCTCATTTTTTTGCTTTGACACTTTTTAGTTTTATCATATATTTTCGCAAGGATTTTTTTCATATGCGTTGAACCTTGTCTTTTTGCGCTCTGCGCCTCAGCATATCTCTCATTATAGTTTACAATATTGTCTTGATTTCTTCGTAGGGCTGCGAATTGAATAGCGTAAATAGATATAGCTTAGATGAAGAATATTTCACAAGAAAAACACATATCGTAGAAACATAGGTAGAATATACAGACATTCACAGCACTTCTGAAAACAGCGACACCATCCAATCCGACTGGCAGGAGACTTGGACTCGTTGTGGATGGATACACTGGAACGCATTGGAATTGAGACGATTCCGCGCTTCTGCGAGAACAAAAGCAGCTAACGACTGCAAACGGCTGCTGGCGGCTGGCCGCGGTTGGAGTGCCTGAGGGCGGGTGGAAACCGGAATGTGTTTTCTTGTAAATAAAAACCTACTCCGTTTGCCTGGTAAGCGACAGAGTTACATGCTTTACCTGCATAAGAATTCAATTTTAGATCCAAGCAATTTAAGCGTAACAATTTGTACTAGTAAGTATGTTGAATTAATTCGCTTTCGGTTGTGTGTCATCACCACATCATCACATTCAGTAATTTGTCAACAAACGAGGTTTATTCCCTCTCCAACGTCGAGGCTTGTCGAAGATGTTGCCAGCGTAGACGGTGGAAGACGATGTGTTGTCGACAGGATTCACCTTGCGGACTGCTAGCACGAGGCTTTAATGTATAGAGCTGCATAATCTTGTCACTGATATCCAAACAGGACCTTCCGTTTCAGCGACACAATCTGCCTATACATAGTGCGTGAGAAACTGCAATTTCATGATTTGACAGTAGCCTTTAAAATCTTTTATATAAAATTAAGGAGGTGGATTCCCGTTTCGGAATGATGCAATCGGTGTCCTGTACAGTTTCGACAATATCAAGCCAAGTATCGCAAATACAATCATTCCAAAAACAAATGATAATGCTATAGCCTTAAATTCGTGGTCACGGTCTAGAACAGCCGTCAAATGAGTGAAATTGCAATCTGCATCATTAGTAGTGTTCTGATTTTCAACAATGGGTACTAAAAGCAATCTGTTGTCCGCTTTTACTCTGAAATGTGATATCATCGAAAAATTGTTGTTAAATTATCTGAACGTACCTGTAGACTGGCACTGATGCATTCTCTGCGCTTCTGAGTGTCCTATAAAACATGGTATTGGATGTAGGTATTAACAACATCTTCCGTTATGTCACTTAACGTATAAGTCATCTATGTAAAGTATACAATCACAAATCACCTAGTTTTGAAAAATAAATTTATGCTCTGTAACAGTTAATATTACCTTTGCTTCGCAACACGAAGCCCTTGCGTCACCGCCATTCATGTCAATTTGTATTCAATCAATAAGCGCGCAAAGGTGGCGCTAGGATCTGGCATGGCGATTGTGCGGAAGGGATACGTCACAATTACAGTCATAAAAGGCTCCCCTTACCGCATAGCAACTAAAACAAGGTGTAAGTATTCGTGGATGACAAATGAAAATATGCGTTGGTGACATTTTCTTGGTGCTAGTGTTTTTCGCATTGCAAGTGACTACAAAAGCATGATTCGGGCTATCTCCTCTGAATTCGCCTTCCTGTGCATAAATGTGCTGGCAATTAAAATTTAGCTTGAAGAGCGAAAAATAGCGGAAACAGTCTTCCCTAAAAACCTTTACGCTAAACGGAACACACTGCCTAATAAAGCTGGAGAAATGCTTTTGAATTCTGAAATGTTCATGGAAAAGTGTTTTTGAATGAAATGGTTTTGTTGAAGCGGTTTTTTGAAGTTTTTCGCTATTTTAAAATGATATAGATGTCGAGGATATCATGCTAATCCTGACTCTGATATCGCACCTCAGCGCGACGAAGTGCGAAGAAACCTTTCCGCAAGAGTTCTAGATGACGAGCGTAGTTACTGTACCATTTGCAGCAGCTTTGAGGCAGTTCCGGCTACCACTTGCTACCCAACTTTTTCGCCATTCACCTTTCTTTGGACATTCTCTGCACAGTCACTGGCCCTTTATCGTCTATTCCGGCGTCAGCGCGTAGTGCACTCCTTGTCGCTGCAATGACGAATGAACTCGATGGTTACACTTATGGGCTTACATCTGACAAGTACCTTTATCAGCATTTGCTTTCAGTATCCTTTGAAGCATCTTTTCCGCTTCATCAATGGTCATGAAACGATTGCCAACCAGTATCCTTAACAGCGTCAGTTAATAAACATCTTGCTAAATTTGACTTAGAAGTATATGCAAATAACGGTGTTCACTTTTGTTTGGGTTCATTAGAAACTCCCTGTGGAGATGACGCTCGTGAAGTTCTACAACTGTCAATTTTATGATAGTTTGTACTTGCTCCTTAAGTCAATTCATTAGCGTTACATGTGAATGCATTTTAAATCGTCTATCGCTACCTAATGTTGGTTTCGGTAAAGTAACTTTGTTAGGTCTAGTTGAGTCGATGGATGGTGATTTGACCACATTTGAGCTGCAAAAAATTTTCTCTTCCCTTGAAAAATATATATTGAAGATTCTACCTACATGTTTCTTGAAATCGGCGATGCAGCCTTGGATGTGCGGCAACTATCAATACGGTTGAAATTACTGTACCGATGCGAGTTATCTAAATGTTAAGATCAGTTGTAAAACAATCTTTGAATGACTTTGGAGAAGCAAAATCTCTTTAGCGTTACCACGCATTTTCGTCAAAGACGTTAATCAAACCAAATTCTCTTGTATATTCAGAGCAAATTTCTAAGATTTTCAAGATATCACATCCTGCTCAAGATTTAGTACGGACGTCATCATGTGCAATGGTCAATGGAAAACTTCCAGAACTGGAATGTTTCCATTAAGCGACTCAAAATCTTTATTGTATCACTACAGTCATAAAGACTGCAGAGGAAAGTTTTACATAGTAAATTTTAGAGAGCAAGAAGCAGTAGGCAGTTTCAGACAGATACTGAGTGTCTAGACTTTTTATGCTGTAAACACTGATTGGAGATAGTAACCATCACCTCAAGCGGCAGATCATGTAATTTATTAGAGGTTGAGAATTCGACATTAAGCTCTTGCACACTACTCTTTCTAACAGTCCAGTAAGCGTCTTGACGATTGATCTATTCAAACATAAGAGTACTCCTAGGCTAGTTGATGTCTTTCTCAATCATAACCGAAATCATACCAGCTGCTGCATCTGCAGTGGCTCAAGTAAGGCTTCCTTATCACTACCCACATACTTAGAAACTCGCGCTGTGCGCTTGGTAAGCGATTGTGCTGCCATCATGGGTTAGGTGAAGACGACTACGACTGCCTGTCGCTTGTGCGGGAAGGGTCGCCCTGCCTGGTTTTGCCGATGGGCTAACATCGTATGAGAAACGTTGACCATTCTCCCGATATTCTCTTCGAGCATGAAGCGTAACCTCTACTTCTTCGTGAGTTATTTTTTTCGCTGTAGATAAGCACTTAATTTGTCATGTCCTATTGTTTTATTGTTTTGTTGATCTTACAAGCTGGCATCCCAGGTTTTGGCCGGGACCATGCCTTATGCTGCGGCTTGGCACAAAATGCAAACCTTGATAGCAAAAACATTAACTGTATTCTACCACTCCAATTTCCATCCCTTCCTCACGCCAGCAGAAATTTGTTATCCCTCTTTTCTTAACTACCTACTTACTCCCTTCCCAAGCCAGTCACTTCCCTCAAACTTCGTTGTCATTTGATCTAACGCCAAGCTTGTTCATCCCTAATCAACTTCACTCCGCGTGAGCTCTGTAACAGCAAAGACTTACGGCTGCATATTCTTCTCGAACCGCATCCTTGTGAAAATAAAATTAACATTGCTATTGTCTGCAAAACCGTTAAAAAACTGCCGGGTGACAAAAATGAATAGAGAGACACAGAAAACGCCTAAACAATAGCCTAACTCCTTTTCCGAAGTCGCTTTCAGACTTAATGGGTTCACTCTCAAAGGAGTCTGCAAAAACATACATAAGGCAAACACACAGACTTTCTGTTTCATACATATATTGTGTTACTCCTCGCTATTTGTTGAATTCTCTTCTTCAATCTCAGTCACGGCTCAATGAATCATATATCTCGTACCATCTGTGCTGACGCAATCTCACTATTATTCTCTTGAGCGCAAAAATCTCGCAATCTCACTAGATTAGTCTCTTGTTTTAAACGGCAGTGCCGCTTAACCGATAGTCATTTATCATTAATGTTTTTTGGGAGTTAACGCGGTAACAATCGCGAGTATCTAAAGCGTTTAGCTATTAAAACAGACCCCATGTTTAAGGTATCGAAATTGATGATGGTTCAATCTATAAATGCCGTGAGCAGCTTAGCCACTGTATAATATTACATGAAGGTTATTGTTTACTTTACGATGTGTAAAAATCGTGAAAGGAAGTAAAGGTCACTGTCAGCCTCTCGCAATGCAGCGAGTATTGGCAGCCGATTACGGCGTTTTCACTGATCTACAAGGAAAGAAGGAAAGACAGCAGTATAGTAAAATAAGAGTACAAGAATTTCTTTGATTACTCTTCATCAATCCTAAAATAATATAATAATATAAAATCCATTATATATATACATAAGTAGAAAAAGAAATTATGACAACACCTAGTCATACATTTAGCTTTAAAGTTTTACTGCCAGCATTCATAACATACCACTTTTCTCAGTTTTCATTAGGCTGACTCTGCGTAAAATTCCCTCAGCTTCTTCTTTGCTATATAGCCGACCAGCAATGCGTATGCTGTATACAATCAATTGATTACGGTACACGTCTCAGGGCAGAATCCAGATACGAACTTTGGTTCACTGGAGAGACTTTTTTTGAATGTTGAAGCGGTACCTTCGGCATTCTTTTCATCTGAAACAGACATTCGCGATCTGTAAAGCAATATTGCTTTTGGCTTCATTTCATACCACTTCTACCTATTGCTGCAGCTTCAAGCTTTTCCGGAACCTTTCCTTGTTTTAAAGGTGCTTTCTCATGTTTCTCTCTGTAACATTCGCATCACTTTTCATGCCTTCACAACAAAACACATTCCATTACAACTTGAATACCTCTGAGTCGATGAGTTGGTTAATATAAGTTCATCCGAATCTCCTATCGAAAATGACTCCGCGGTTTTGACGTCTGGAGATCCGCTACCGTCTAAAAAAATCACTGCAGAAGGATCGTGACAACTAAAACAATTTCAACCAAATAAAGCTAGGGTCATTTATAAGATCGTTACGATGAGTTTGACTGCGGTTTTTGCGCCCGCAGGAGCATAACACCTCTACAATAAGGCATCACCTTAACGCTTAGTCAGTCACTTCCAAGGCCCGGCACAAACTGTCTGGAAGCAGGCTGGACTTCGTTTTTGAAGCAAACAGCAAAGGGGAAAACCTTTTTAGACGAGTCGGAATCGAGCATCAAGAATAAGCGCCATTTGGTCGAACACAAGCTTTTCGTACAGGTTATCACACGTCTGACATGCTCCATCGTGCATGGCGAAAACTGCGCGCGATTTGAAAGCAAGGTTTAAATAAATAAATTGCTTGTTCACAGCGCACACAGAAGCATATGGCACCCAAATTGAACTGTATGTATAGAAAATTATTTGCGAAAGTATTATGTAAAAAGATTTGAAAACTTATGTAAAGTAATACCTTTTCCAAAATTAGATCGTCTCCAGATCTCTCTCTCTCTCTTGGATTTTCACTCTTATCTTACGTCTTTTCTTTCAGACTAGTGAATCTTTCTTGTTTTCATCTTCTCCTAAGCAGGTAGATCAAAGGAGACTTCATAAAATTTCCAAAAGTCAGGGGAGACTTCGTTTTCAGAAACCCTAGAAACCGACTCGTGCCGGGCCCTGGTCACTTCCAGTGCTGACTGAGCGTATACCTAAGCAGGAAAACCAGTCGAGTAGAGATCAATACCAAAAAAGGTTGCCGAAAGGTGCGTGCGTGTCGCACGCGATCGCGTCATCGTCACATTTTTTCGGATACCCTATAGTTTTACACCATACACTTGAAAACTAGTCAAGTTAGTTCTGAATGCCTAACACGTTGACGACGCAATCTTTGCCTGTGGACGACGCCGAGCAATGGTACGCGGCACCCTAGATATCAATTCCAATGTGCTCAATAGTTTTCATTTGTGTTCCTATAATCAACCTAGGTTAAGAAGCATATCATGTTGGCCCTGTCCTTTTTGGCAAACTTCGCCCTTTCCGTTGCTATCATAACTTATAATAACGGGCTAAGGTTGTTTACGTGTTTTTGTGTGTGTGTATGTATGTCTGTGTGTCTGTCTGTAACGAAATTCGTAGAGCGAGTTCCAGCCAACGTCCTGAGCTCAAATTTTGCACATCACATGCGACCAAGATAAGAGCCTATCGTGCAAAAGCACGAGTGATTTTGTTGGTTGGATCCCTCAGAAACTGCGCGTCAAACGGAACCACTTGGGTTCTGGTCAGCAAAATTGGTTCCGTATTACCACTTTTTGCAAAGTCGGGGATGTGCTGATGTGCAAGCCATGGACTTTAGTCCAAAAAAGGAGACAAAAGTTCACTACTTTTGGAGAACGACGCCAAAAAGGAATGTTTGCGTAAATGATTAATTTGCCATGGTTTTACCTGAGCATTCGAGAAAAATTTTGCACAAAGATGTAGCTCACGTTGTCTACTATCCTCATGGTAGCTACCAAGCCAGAAAGAGTCCAAAAACCTATTCAAATTCGTATTTGTTCTCCTGCAAAATGTTTCATTCACGCGAAATCACCGATCTCACATGAAAAAGCATTTTAAATGGGTGGTTGTTTACACTTTACTCGCGATAATCGGCACTACGTGGTGAGTTTCATTGCCACCATTAGTCAAAAATGAGTAAGGCATATAAAGTAAGACCAGTGCGAGCCTCTGCGAAGCAGAGGTGACGCAATGGTATCAAGACCTTATAATAACGGGCTAAGAGTTGTTTACGTGTTTTGTGTGTGTGTGTGTGTCCGTCTGTTACGAAATTCGTAGAGCGTGTTCCAGCCAGCGTTCTAAGCCCAAATTTTGCACAGCGATTGCTGCCTTCATGAAAGTCCAACATGCCAAAGCACGAATAGATTCGTTGAGTGGATCCCTCAGAAATTACGCGCCAAACCGATCCACCTGGCCAAATTGGGTCCGTATCACCACATTTTGCAAAGCCGTGGATGTGTTTGGTAAGCAAATGTGCAAGCGATGGACTTTAGTCCGAAAAGTGGTCAAAAGTTCACTACATAACGAAAACGGCGCCAAAAAGAATTGGTTGCGTAAATGGTCAATTTGCCAAGGTTCTAGCCAAGCATTTGACAAGATTTTCGCAGAGAGATGTAGTTCACGGTGACTATTGCCTTTATGGCCACTACCAAACCATGACAAACTCAAAAACCTATTCAAATTTGCGTTTGCCTTCATGCGAAAAGTTTCATTCACGCGAAATCACCGATCTCACGTCAAAAAGCCTTCTAAATGAGTAGTTGTTTACATTTTATTCGTGGTAGCCGGCATAGCGCGGTGAGTTCCAGTGCTATGATTTTACGAGAATGAGTAAGGCACATACCCTCGATATCATCCCATATGTCTTCCCTCAACATGACGTGGATTACGTGGCTTGATGAGGCGCCGCCTCGCCTCGGGCTTGCGCCACGTTGCGTGCGCATCTTCGGCGTGATGTGGCAACAAGAAGAACGTGGAAAAGCCTGCGCCACGTTGTGTTGAGCGCCACGTCGCGCCAAATGATGCGCTCGCAACGTGGCGCAAGCCCGAGGCGAGGCGGCGCCTCATCAAGCCACGTAATCCACGTCATGTTGAGGGAAGACATATGGGATGATATCGAGGGTAGATAGTAGTGCCAGTGCGAGCCTCTGCGAAGCAGAGGTGACGCACTGGTCTGCGAATAACATGCTTATGCTCAAAGCGCATAGAAGAGGTCATGATGAGTGGAAAACCTCAAGTGACCTTGACCTACCCCGCCTCCCGTCCGGCAGCGTCCACCCCTTTAGCGGCAAACTCAGATCACTTTCGAAAATGCCGCAATTTGCACGAATTTCTGAAATTCAAGCAGTTTCCAGCATTGTGGACGAAGCAGTCCAAAAAAGGGGAGGAGCTGCATTGCCTACTTGATAACCATAGTTCACGCATAGTGTGCGTAAATACGTGTAGCCAGGCATAGAAGGGCACGGAAAATCTCACAGGAGCATGAAAAAAATCACTCGTCATCAACGTGTTAGACCTTTCACCTTTCGTCTTCTTTTCCTTCTTCTCAGCAGGAGGTTTCGACGGGGCAGGTTCAGCGATTGAAACAATGTGGTCATCAAAACGAATCCTGTAAAGGAGCCACAAATGCCCGAAGACATCCCATCACTTGCTTTCAGACCACACACACACACACACACACACACACACACACACACACACACACACACACACACACACACACACACACAACACACAACACACACAACACACACAACACACACAACACACACAACACACACAACACACACAACACACACAACACACACAACACACACAACACACACAACACACACAACACACACAACACACACAACACACACAACACACACAACACACACAACACACACAACACACACAACACACACAACACACACAACACACACAACACACACAACACACACAACACACACAACACACACAACACACACAACACACACAACACACACAACACACACAACACACACAACACACACAACACACACAACACACACAACACACACAACACACACAACACACACAACACACACAACACACACAACACACACAACACACACAACACACACAACACACACAACACACACAACACACACAACACACACAACACACACAACACACACAACACACACAACACACACAACACACACAACACACACAACACACACAACACACACAACACACACAACACACACAACACACACAACACACACAACACACACAACACACACAACACACACAACACACACAACACACACAACACACACAACACACACAACACACACAACACACACAACACACACAACACACACAACACACACAACACACACAACACACACAACACACACAACACACACAACACACACAACACACACAACACACACAACACACACAACACACACACACACACACACACACACACACACATACACGCTTTGAAAAGCAAATATCTATTCAAAGAAGGCAACGAGTTACTGTCAGAGTCGAGCAAGAGGTATGGTACATAACGCCGAAGACGACCCCCTCCTCCCTTCTCCCTTCTCCCCCCTCCCCAAAGTTCTGTCCCAACACCCACCCCTCTCTCCCCCCGCCCGCTTATCGTTTGCCCAGTGTAGGCATAACATAAAGGCTCTACCACACATAATCGCTAACGTAATAGTAATTATCGTGTCAAATAACCCCTAGGGTTTTGATTTTAACCAAGTCTGAGGGTTCCCGATAATGGGCTACCCAAGTGAAATGGTCATTTCCAAGCATGGTTAACTGTATCTCAAAAGTTTAGCAGCTACCTCTTTTTTTACTCATTACCACTCTTCTCTATTCGCCTACAACATTATTTGAATTGAGATTCCTAATATGAGCAATTAAGCAGCAGCTTTTCGTACTAAGTGCAAAAAGAACTAGTTAGCACATTTCGAAACAAAGTTTGCAAAAACATGTTTGCAAATGACCCACACTTGGGTGGACCAAGATCTCCGACTTCGTGTTGAGTCCTGCAAGAGTCTTGCGGGACCTACGGTATTATTTCGTCCCGGTTCTAAGGTCGGAACAAAATCGGGTTTTCGCAGGACTACCTTTTTTCGCTATTTTAATTTTGTGACTGGACTCTTGCGAGACTCAACCAGGAATGTATGAGATCTGGAAGCCTCAGAATTTGCTGAAACTTGCTATACAGGGCAGACATGCTTATCATTACTTATAATAATGGGCTAAGGATGTTTACTTGACTTTGTGTGTGTGTGCATGTGTACATATGTGTCTCTTTCCGCCACTTAAGTACCATTTTGTAGAGGAGACTTCAACTTAGATTTACAGTATCGAGCGAATCACCGATCGCTCTTCGTTACTGTAGGATTACGGTAAGAACTTTCGGCATGTGGAACTTCTGTGAAATATGAAATCTGATAAATTTTTCAAAAAACCTGAAAAATCGTCTCATTAGGGTTTTCGTGCACGCTGATTCCACTACACAACTTTTCACAATTGTTTACAGCTTTTTGACCGTAAAACCACATTTCTGACAAATACTGAAAATTCATTTATAACGGTTTACCTGGGATAACTTTGGAAATAAGCATCACAGTAAAGTAGAAAAATTATTCGAAATCAGCGGCTTCCATTACTATAGTATAAGAGCTTTTGGCTTGTTTGCTTTTGATCCTAGGCAATGGCTTTCAATAACCTAAAATCCTTGTCGAATCTCCTACAGTAATCCTACAGTAACTAAGAGCGATAGGCGATTCGCTCAATACTGCAAATCTAAGTTAAAGCCTCCTCTACAGAATGGTACTTAAATGGTGGAAAAAGACACAAAGGGAAGAAAGTTATTAACGATTGAAAAGTGTGTACTTACTTTTGGGGCACCCTGTATATATATACATATATGTATGTATATATATACATATATATGGTGTGTTGTGTGTTACGAAATTCTTAGAGCGTGTTCCAGCCAACCTCCTGGGCTCAAATTTTGCTTAGCGCATAATACCCGTATGAAACTCCAACACGCAAAAACACGAGCAGATTCGTTGAGTGAATCCCTTAGAAACTGCGCGTTAAACGGACCCACTTTGCATTTAGGCCGCAAAATTGGGTCCGTAATTCCACTTTTTGCAGAGTCGTGGATGTTTATGCCAAGTAAATGTACAAGCCATGAACATAGGCCCAAAAAAGTGAAAGTCCATTGATTTACAAAAACTGCGCCAAAAAGTATTGATTGCAAATGGTCAACTTGCCAACGTTTTACCAGAGCATTTGACAGATTTTTGCACAAAAATTAGCTCACGGTGCTGCTGTCCTTATTGCAATTGTCAAGACCATGGGAAGTTCAAAAACGTATAAAAATTTGCGTTTGTTCTCCCGCAAAAGTCTCATCCATGCGAAATCACCGATTTCACATGAAAAAAGCTTTCGGAATGAGTAGTTGTTCGCGCTTTATTTGTGATAGTCAGCATTGGTGAGTTCCACTGTCATCATTATGCGAGAAGTAGGGCCTAGATAGTAGAGCCAGTGCGAGCCTCTGCGAAGCAGAGGTGACGCACTGGTTACGAAAATGATGCTTCTATGCTTTTAGGACTTCTTTATTTATTATGCTTATTGCACGTCTGCGATAGTAGGCCAGAATATCAGTGCGCTAGTATCTCCAATCATGTTATCGCTAATATTAGTATCATGTAAAACGCCTTCCCCACCCTGGCCGCTCAGTGCGACCCTAGGTGTGGCATGTCACACCCCACGCTTGCCTGGTCATTGCTCGTGGATTACACATACACAATACACATACACACACATACACACATACACACAAAGATACACACAAGGTGGAATAGATGTTCACCATGACATAGAAACATTGAATAGCGATACTTACTTATTCAGAGAGGGCAACGAGTCATTGCTTGTGGATGACTTTGGCTCCTTACTCTTCTTCTTTCGTTTCTTCCGTTGCCTTAATTTCCTGTCTGCATGGAAGATTGGTGTCATAACTTGCATAATCACGTAAAAATACTACCTGTTCTTATGACACTACTTTTTTCGCGTTTTTTCTTTTTCTTGGGCTCCTTAATAGAGACGATATTGTCTTCAAAACGGATCCTAAAAATATGAGAAAAAGATTGTAACAGACTTTGATCAAATCTCACTTTTCCAGAGAAGGAAGAGATTCTCCATCCGAAAATGGGAAAGATTTTTCGTCGTGTTCTTTCGCTTTTTCACGCAGATCACTTGATTCAACTGAGATAAGATCTACTCGACTTTATTTCTTGATTATTTTTCTGTTCAGTGTATTCAGTATGTTTTAGTATTTCTTGATTATTTTTCTGTTCAGTGTATTCAGTATGTTTTAGCCAAATTAGTGCTGAGATGTTCTAGCACCAACAGTTGTATGTACATGCCGTAAGCCTGTATTCTGACACGCTAAGAAGGGCAAAAACATTTTCTTGGTAGCACTATTAGTGGCTGCTTTGCTGCAATGATCTTGACAATTTCGTAATAATGGACCACACTTCACATTGTTCACGCGTTAGCGATATGTAACTATCATTTGGATTATGTTGCGCGGATCATTTGAGGGAAGGGTACCAACTTGAGTAGGTCACTGAAAATGTATATCACTGGGCGCGTCTTCAAACGATGACTTCAAGTCTGCCCTTTAACGGTGGGGCGTCCTGCTCCGGTCGCAGGGCAGCGCGCTCCAAACCGATCATTCGTTGTTATTGTTCTTGTTATGTATCTCTCATTGTAAAGCATAAAAAGCGCCATTTTGTCAATCTTTCAACGGCAAAAGAAACTTCGCAAAATTTTCTTAACGGGGACGTCAGGTTAGTTAAAAAGCGTTTCGAATTAGACACATATATTTGGAATCAGCTTCGAACGCTGATTCCAAATATGCTGTTCAGAGTTACGGCGGTTTTTTCTGAAGGAAATTATGAACTTTTTTCTAAGCGAAGTTGCCATACTTTTCCATATGGTAAGGCCGCCTGTAGATGATCTGCCTAAAGACGGTGCTGGGATACTGAAATTATTAGGTTGCCCCAAAAGTAAAGTCCTTTTTTGATTAACTCAAGCTCTTTTTATTCTCTCAGTATATTTAGGGTATCGTTCGATAGGGCAGATCAAGCTCAACAAAACGACCGCCTAGGGTCCGCCTAATTCCCTTCCATATATAGTTTGAAGCCAAGATCGAAAAAAATTTTGTCATCTGAAAATTGGATTTCTGCGACAAGAAATCCTACAGACCTCCAAATTGGCCATCATAACTTATAATAACGAGCTAAGGGTTGTTTACGCGCGCGCGCGCGTGTGTGTGTGTGTGTGTGTGTGTGTGTGTGTGTGTGTGTGTGTGTATGTGTGTGTGTGTGTGTGTTGTGTGTGTTGTGTGTGTTGTGTGTTGTGTGTTGTGTGTGTTGTGTGTTGTGTGTGTTGTGTGTGTTGTGTGTGTTGTGTGTGTTGTGTGTTGTGTGTGTTGTGTGTTGTGTGTGTTGTGTGTGTTGTGTGTGTGTGTTGTGTGTGTTGTGTGTGTTGTGTGTGTGTTGTGTGTGTGTTGTGTGTGTGTGTTGTGTGTGTTGTGTGTGTTGTGTGTGTGTTGTGTGTGTGTTGTGTGTGTGTTGTGTGTGTGTGTTGTGCGTGTGTGTGTGTTGTGTGTGTGTTGTGTGTGTGTGTTGTGTGTGTGTTGTGTGTGTTGTGTGTGTTGTGTGTGTGTGTGTTGTGTGTGTGTGTGTGTGTTGTGTGTGTTGTGTGTGTTGTGTGTGTTGTGTGTTGTGTGTGTTGTGTGTTGTGTGTGTTGTGTGTGTTGTGTGTGTGTGTGTTGTGTGTGTTGTGTGTGTTGTGTGTGTGTTGTGTGTGTGTTGTGTGTGTGTGTGTTGTGTGTGTTGTGTGTGTTGTGTGTGTGTTGTGTGTGTGTTGTGTGTGTGTTGTGTGTGTGTGTTGTGTGTGTGTTGTGTGTGTGTGTTGTGTGTGTTGTGTGTGTGTGTTGTGTGTGTGTGTTGTGTGTGTGTTGTGTGTGTGTTGTGTGTGTTGTGTGTGTGTGTGTGTGTGTGTGTGTGTGTGTGTGTGTGTGTGTGTGTGTGTGTGTGTGTGTGTGTGTGTCCGTCTGTCACGAAATTTATGGAGGGAGCTACAGAATACATCCTAAGCTGAATTTTTGCACAGTGTACGCTGGCTGCGTCTAGGCTCACCCTTGGCAAGGGGAAACGGATCTGATGCACGAGTCCTTCGAAAATGGCGTTTAGGGCAGGTCCACTTGGCTTTTGGCATGCAAAACTATGTCGTTGATTCAACTTTTTGCAAAGTCATGATCTGCCCGACAAGTAAACCTGCGCCCCATGAATTCTAGCCCAAAACGTGCTCAAAAAGTCTGTTTTTCTGCGAAAACAGCGCCAAAAAGTGGTGATCGCGTAGATAGTCGATTTGGCAAGGTTTTGCCTTGAATTGGAAAGATTTTTGCAGAATGTAGCCCAAAGTGACTGCTATCCTTATGACGATTACCAAGCCAAAACAAATTGAGTAATCCATTCAAATTCGCATTTGTTCCTTTGCAAAAATAATTTTCTTTTCAAATTTACCAATCTTACGTGGAGATGCTTCAAGAGAACAGTTGTTACGATTTATTTGTGATGTAGAGCATCACAAATAAATCGCAGCTTGGTGAGTTTCAAAGTCATCATTATGCGAGCTGAGAAAGGCATACGGATAGGAGAGTCATTGCGAACCTCCGCGAAGCGGAGGTGATGCACTGGCGGCTATATAACCTTTAGAAAGAGAACGAAATGTTGCATCAAATGCTGCCAGAACCTCTTACATATCTTGGTTCCACGAGAAGTGGCGTTCGTTTGAGAAAAGCGACGTCATTTTCGGAACAACCTAATAGAAAGTTTCTTTATAGTTTATCAAAGAAATTCTTTTTTTTCTCAAGCAGTCAAGCTAAGTCCTCGACACTGGTGGAAACGCAAGCTACTTCTTGCTGTCACTTACCCAGCTCTTACGTCATCTATTGAGTTTTGAGCTTCAATAAAGGAAAACGGGAGACGTCTTTTCGCACGAACGGTCTTCAGTGCCGCCCTGATTTTGACCTGTCTTAACGCGTCAATACGCCGCGAATCTCCCCCCTCCCCCTGCTTTGCTTAGGGTTTCTTCATACTACGCCGCGCGCGCCGCGCAAGCAGCGTACGCCGCTGCAGCGCAATGGAATGTCATTATTTGACTCTGATTTCCTTTTTCTTGTCGGTCTGGTCACTCTATATCTATTTTAGGGAGTGCGGAGCACACGTTAGACTTCCTCATTGACTGCTAAGCCAAGCGATGGCAACTGAATGTTTACAACGTTCGGAAACGATGTGGTGGTGCAAATTAAAGCGAGCAAGTAGATTTGGTGAGTTTACGGCATTGAATGCAAAGGAAACGGCAAAAAGAAGGCCCTAGCTCTCAAGACCAACTGGCAGCTATTCTATCCATAGGCCAATTTCAGGAAAATAGAAGGGCCTTAGCCAGATTCTCAAATTTCAGATACTAAATCAAAACAGTAGGCTTCAGTGGAAGTGATGTTTACTATTACGCGTTTTAGGCATTTTACTTTCAAATATATTTACATCTGCCAAATTGAAATAACATCTACGTACATCACTGACACTGCATAATGAATAATGAGCAATGACAAATGGGAAAACGATTTCTACAAGAAGATTACGGGACCATTCTTGTCACCGCTACTGTTTGCGACAAGAATTATAATCTCCGAGATGTTGCTGACGTTGCTGACGGAGAAAAAACAGCGATCGAGGAAACACATGCTCAAAGTAGGAGTTGCTGCGTGACAAGTTGATCCAGCAGTCAATGAGAAAGTCTAACGTGTGCTCCGCACTCCCTAAAATAGATACAGAGTGACCAGACCGACAAGAAAAAGGAAATCAGAGTCAAATAATGACATTCCATTGCGCTGCAGCGGCGTACGCGGCGTAGTATGAAGGAACCCTTAGGCTTTGGCCATACTTTGCCCGTGTTGCCGGTGTTGAAAGTGTTGCCGGTGTTGAAAGTGTTGAAAGTGTTGCCGGTGTTGAAAGTGTTGAACGGAGATCATCAGTCTAGCAGTTTCATTCTTTCTCGAACGATCTCACCGGCTGGTGAATACGTTGGAAATGGAAATGGGGAATGAGAAATGAAACTGAAATGAGATGGGGAATGTTTTCGCATGCAAAAGATCCTCAAACAAACTTTTTGAAAAGTGGACGGCTTGTCTGGAATAGGAAAACGCTGCAGACCTCACTTAGGTTCTTTACTCACTAATCGCAAGCGCGGCAGGATTCGAACTAAAACACATTACTACTCAGACGTCAGCTATCCCAAATATTGGAGATTGCCTATTCCAGACAAGCCGTCCACTTTCCAAAAAGTTTGTTTGAGGATCTTTTGTATGCGAAAACATTCCCCATCTCATTTCAGTTTCATTTCTCATTCCCCAATTCCATTTCCAACGTATCACCAGCCGGTGAGATCGCTCGAGAAAGAATGAAACTGCTAGACTGATGATCTCCGTTCAACACTTTCAACACTGGCAACACTTTCAACACTTTCAACACCGGCAACACTTTCAACACCGGCAACACGGGCGAAGTATGGCCAAAGCCTTAGGCAAAAACCGCCGCAGGGTGTGTCGCGCGCAGCTGTGGTCCTGCGTGGAAAGCCTTACGGTCGTGCGAATCGCCCTACACCCAAAAGAACGTCATTTCCTCCCTTCTATCGCTCCAAACAGGGCTACTGAAAACCACGAAGTGTGGATTCCCAGTTAACTTCCATATACAGCATAAGCGCATAAAATACTATTACGAAGCTCAAGTTCCAGTCCGAGTTTAAGTCTTATTCTAGCAACGCATGCCAAACCAGTTTCAGCTTGTTTAAAACTGCGACTTTTTGAAATGCTCCTCAGTTTTCATGATTTTCTTTCAAATGTTTTGAATAGTCATATTACCTAATAATCTCTTCATGTTCTTTGAGATAGGGTCATTCATTTCGGATCCGTAAGAACGCTCCTTCATCTCAATCATCTAAATGAACTCTGTTTGCGTAGGTTTTCGCTTCGCAAGACTTACAACCGACCGTCGCCCCGAGTTAGTATCAAGTAAATGTTCCTTCTATTTCAAAAGGCTCGCGCTCTACTAATCCAACGATGTAATAATCAGCACAAGAGTAGACGATAAGAATGATCCACGGCCATGATGAGGACGTGATTAGGGGGCGGTAGACCTGCGACTTTTGATTTATGCCATTATCAGCGCGTCTCCCCTACTTCGCAGATGCTCGCACTAGTTCTACCCTTCAATTCAACGACACTGGCAAGGCGACCGCTGGCGCTCGCGACGCAATCTGCGTCTCACTCGCGGTATCTCTGATCATTCTCTAACCTTAATTGGATTACAAAGTTGAATCAAAGGGTACTATCTATCGTCGATTCATTGGCTGCACGGACTGCTCTTGCGGACCACGCGCGGCGTTGCTGGAATGTTGCGAGAGCACGAGTTGCACAATGCGAATTTGTACTAGGGCAAGCGTTTTACCTCGTGCGTGCTATGCAGTGATGTCCAGTCCGTGTGTTCAACAAATCAAGGATATCTATCGAGTCTTTTTGAGAGTAATTTTGCTCTTCTTTCAAATGACCATGAACTCGCGCAGAACAAAGTTCCGAGGAAGAATTCAGGCGCACTTGGTGATGAAACTGCTTTGGAAGCGCCTGAAACGTTCCTAGCTTCTTTGTTTTGCCGAATGTTACGTTCATCTGATAAAGCGAATCTACTTTCGGAACCTAATAGATGGATAGCAGAATCAATACGAGCCTCTGCGAAACAGAGGTCGATGGTTCGAAGTTTAGAAGCGATCGATGTCGTTCGCCCCATACTGTAATTATAAGTTGAAGCCAGTTCTACAGGACTTGATACTTGGCAGAATATTTTGTTGGAAGAAAGATATTGACAACTGAACACTGTATACATACTTGTAAAATATCATGTACCCTCTTGCCCTACGCTCTTTGAATTTCTTCGCGCCGCAGTGAAGTTGCTCCGCTCAAGATAGTCATGCACCATGTTGCGAGCGCTTTGCCAGCCAGGCAACAGCTGAGTCCGCTGCGTTTCAGACGTTTCCGTCATGATGTCATTTTTACTGTAACACGTTTCGGACCGGTGCTGCACATGGCGCAGACGCTGTCTTGAAGAATCACTTGACGTTTACATGATGTTGTCCTTTAGTCTGAGGTCATCAAGTCGAAGTCCTAAGCTCCTACTTTTCAAATGACTCTGTAGAACTGTGCCGCCGATATTTGTTTAGGATATATGAGACAAATCGAACAACAGTCGCAACGAAGTGCGGCAACGCAATTTCTCTTTACTTCGATTTCACAGAGAAAAACGGTAGTTTCAATGCTGATGTGTACTTCGTACAATATAGATACTTTTAGATACTATTAAAAAATAAGTTCTTGTTCCTATCTTGCAAGGAAGCACAAAAGCCCCTCTTAAGCAACAAAATTCAAACAATTCGAATTCGCTCGGAACTTTGGGTGGAGCTATCTAACATGCTGATTACAGATATGCTACACAGTCTACGAAATAAGATCCCTCTGTTGGTTAACGGCTGAAAGTACACTCTTTTTCGCTGCGCGCTATTTCGCGATTTCCAAAACGTGTTAATTTTCAGCATTCTGCTGTAAGAGTGGTGTTGTGAAACAAACAACGGGCAAAGCGCAAAAGCTTCGACAAAACTTTGAAGAAGCCGCCAAAATTGCTGCTCTGCCGCATTCTTGTAGGAAAAAATCAAATGGTAAAGTGCATAATCTGTGTGACATATTGCAGAATGTACCTGCTAGAAATATATTTTCTGAATATTTCCCGTAAAAGAAGCATAGATGTCATGTATTCATTTGTAGCAATTTTTATTCAATTATTTCGAATATACCCGAGATGCACAGGAAAAACAAGGAGGCAGCCAGATCTCAGAGGAAGACAAAGAAATATGTAAAGATGTTTATCTTCATCTTGTACACATTAAGTGCGCATAAAAAACTGATAAGTGTCAGGATAAAGGTTCGCGAGTCCTTTACCTGATGTGTAGCGGGTTTATATTAGTCTTATTATGATCCTTATTATACAAACTATATACAAAAGGAAAAAGGGAAAGGGGGAAGAGGGAACCGTCTCCTGACGGCGGGCAGAGGTCACTGCCAGAGGTTCGCTATCTTAGGCCAACCTCCATCGCGAGCAGCTGTTGGATAATAGCTGCGTCCCGACATAAGTTAGTAACAAAATAAACCAATTACCACACTTCACCGAACTGGAAACTTGGCTCCCGAACCTTTTTTCTACATCAAAAACAATTGACCCACTAACAAAAGATGAGCAGGGTCTTCATTGAACAAAGAAAGTTATTAGCATTGAGTGCTACCGCCAGATAATTTGAGAGGATTCAAGGATCGATATTGGTTCCGCTAGGAATCCAATCTAGCGATCTAACCTTAAACACACTTAAACACTAGCCAGCTCCAGAATAATAGATAAGTATCGAGTAGAATAAGGAGTCTAGTTTTTGAGAAAAAACAAGCATGCATGAAATGATGATTCAAGATGAAGCGTAATAGACCTGCACGATCGATTAATCAAGGTAATTTTCAATAAAAAAAGAATGATCTAGTCTTAAAAGAATATAAGCACTGGCAATCAGAGCTAGAAAACAGTCTAGAGACTGCCATTCTGCTCAGCCGCCCAAGCGACGAAACAGTCGAATCGTCGTTGAAACGGACAAGCCACAACTACATGAGGCAAACACACGAACAAACCAAATTTGACGCATTACCACCGACCTGAAATAGTAAGCTGATAACAGAAGCAAACATAGAAGAAAAAAATAAAGTGGATAAAAAACCATTTTAAGGCAGTGTCCGGGCAAAAACTCGAGTTTTGGGAAAACCAATTACCGGAGGTTTTCGGCGACGCTGAGTCCGAAAATCCACATCAAAAGGCGCGAAAGCGAGAACCTGCGTTTTACAAAGCCTTAATTTGAAATTCGACAGTTTTCGCCAAGGGTGAGACGCAGAGTCGCCGGGACTCTACGATTTTAACTGTGGCGGCATGCGTACTCTGCCGCAGAGCAAGAGTTCAAACAGGTGGAAGATATAGCTAAGACCGGATGTTCGTGCTCGAATACTTTATTCGAAATATTCGACTATTCGGAGGAAGTCCAGATATTCGATTATTCGAAGAGTCGAAAAATCAAATATCTGGACTTGGAGAAAGTCCAGCTATTCGATTATTCAAATAGTCGAATAAATGGAAAGGCCTGTACGCGAATAAATCGTTCATTCAACGATTTGGAAAAATGAGTTATTCGCATATTCGTTTATTCAAGTAATTTTAAAAGAGATTCGAATATTCGAATACTCAGACCATTCAATCGAACATGCGATGTCAAAAGAAAACTTCAGCTGTAATACATTGAGTGCAAGTACGTCCCCGATCGGTCAATCATACAAATGAATTATCATATGACAAATGGCTAGCGACATTCCCTTTTTGAGGCAATTGCGAGTCATGCCAGAGCTTAGTGATGATAAGTCTTACGCATAATTCATTTGGTGTGGTGAACCTCTGGAATTCGCGTCTGCAGAAGTTGAGAAGCGATATTGCGCGCAAACACCTCCAAGCCCTAAATTGGGTGAAAAAGCAAAGCCGACATCAAGCGCCCTTTATCGGACCACTGGCTCCCAAACAGCTTGGATAGGGTTGTTTCAGACTGCCGCACTGACTGCAGCTGACTGCAGCAGACTGCAGCAGACTGCAGCAGACTGCAGCAGACTGCAGCAGACGGCAGCAGACTGCAGCTGACTGCAGCTGACCGCACTGACCACACTGACCGCACCGGTCGCAGCCTCTTTTCTCAAAAGAAAAAACAACCGCGATTATCAAAACAGCATGATTTGCGCATAAGAAGATCATAAGTTCCATCAGAATTCTTCTCAATCAAATTTTGGCGATAATTTTCTTTGGTATGTTCGTAATTGTTCTAATTCTTCCTATCACTGCATATACCTGTTTTGTAACATTCTAAACCTTGTTGTCTTTTGCTTTTACGTATATATTGTTTTGTTTGTTTGAAGCACAACTATTTATCCTCTCCGAATGCAGGCTTCAGCCGCTGCGGTCGTTGCGGTCAGTGCGGTCACCTGCAGTCTGCTGCAGTCTGCTGCGGTCAGTGCAGACTGCTGCAGTCAGTGCGGCAGTATGAAACAACCCATAAGCATGTGAACCAGCAGCCCATTAGGGCAGCACGTACTGGCAACATTCATTCCTTCGTCCCGAGATTTCCACTTACCTTGCCAGTGTAATCACCGCATGTCAAAATACCTGAAAGAAACATTAACGCAAAGCAAGGTCAGAGCAAGGCGGTTGCGAAGGCCTGAGCCGCTGATTTGTGCGGCAGCCTGTGTGTCAGTTACCATGCTCAAATCGGCGCCTTCATAGTCAGGAAGCGTAAAACTAGTGCTAGAATGTTGCGAAGTTCATAGAGGAATAATACTTCGAGTAAGCGTGATTACTTCGAATCTAAATAAAAGATGTGGAAAATCTCTTACAACAAAAGTACAAACCAAAATTACAGCTAAAATATTTTTATGAAAATATAATCTTACAACAGAAAGTGTGAGACTCAGCGATTGATAATTTCCGACAAGTACCAGATTAGCAGCTAAACAGATATTTCTAGGACTAATCTAGATTTGGATGCGCACAAAAGTATTATGTAGACAACAGTGTGTCACCTCTGCTGCAGAGGTTCACTGATTCTATGACTGTAGGCCTTCCTCGTGCTCACCCAGTGCTAGTCTCAGAACTCACGCAATGCTGATCATCATAAATAGATTACGAACAACTACCTATTCAAAAGGATTTCCCTTTTGAATCTGTTGCTTTGGGAGAAGTTCTATGTACAAGGCTTATCAATTAAAGTGTCGAGTGTAACAGCATCTCCACTTCCGCGACAGATTCTGTGTCTCTTCCGTGAAACATGCTCTCCAATCACTTCCGATCAACTGAATCTCCGCCTTTCCCATGCTCGCCCTGGTAAAGTGAGAGAGCATTTTCCGCGGAAGAGAAGCAGAGTCCAGCGCGAGAAAGGAGATGCTGTTGCACCCGACACTTTATCTGATAAGGCATATAGGCTTCGAGAGAAATTTCTGTGAGGAATAATAAATGTGGACTTAAACGGTTATTAAGTAAGGCTCAGTAGCCATCTCAAAGGATAATGAACACCTTTAACTACATGTTTGAGTAAAATCCATCTTAGTTCCCTAGGTAGAACCCTGACCATGCGACAGTAACCAGTCATCCTTACAACTTGCTACGCATATAATTATCAGCTGCAAATCTAGATAAAATATAGCGATTAATTTTTGCTGAAAACTGCAACAAAGAAAAAAATCAGCAATGTTTGAGCAATTAGATTATTTTAATTATTCGAACAGTCAAATATTCGACCATATGTAATTATTCGACTATTTGAATAGTCGAATATTCGACCAATCCCATCTATTGGAATATTCGTTCATTCGAATTTTGAAATGTAGCAAATTTCGAATTCGAATAATCTAAAAATCACATATCGAATAATATTTGTTCGTTCAAATATTTTGCAAAGGTCGATTATTCGATATTCGTTCGTTCGAAGAAATTTCTCGGTCGTTTCAACTATAGCGGAGGACCCCGCCCAAGCGTAAGTTTCCCGGCTGCACTTCAGGATGTACGCCGCGCGGCGCCCGCTTTGCAGCGTCCAAATCTTAGGACCCATGGAGCTCCCCAGTACCAGAGAATCCCGGCCGCAAAAACATTTTTTCTTGCCTTAGGTCGAACGTTATAACCTCGCAGTTGCGCGATGCTCTGTCCGAAGGGGTGCCACTTTCGAATGTCACCGAAATTCCAAAACCCTCACCTTGTCGGATACTGCCTTTGAAGCCGAGACATGTGGATGGAAAAAAGAACACTAAGCCCTAGACCCATAATGGCTAGGTAACCTTTTCTGAGTCTAGCAAGCAAGAAAATTTGCTTAATTCAGAACATAGCCTCGAGAATCTCTCCTCCTCTGAGATTTGTGATGACCACAAGTTTTGGGTGTCAGTGAGTGCGCGAGTAAACGCTAGCTGACCTGACTTCGATGAAGATCTACCCTAGAGAGAGCAAGATTCTGATTCAGATAGGAAATAGCTATCAGATATAGAATGGCAATATCATCAAGAAAATATCTGGAATGGACGGGGTCTAAGGGTGAGAGTATCAGACGTAGATTAGAATTGCCTGGTGAATGAGAATGGCGATAGTGAAAGCATAACAAGCAAGAAACTAGCACTGCAAAAAACAGTTTCTCTTCATTTTCCTTAACAACCTGACTATCCAAGCATAGATAAAAGAGCGTAGTAAATAAATCATGAGTCAACCATAATCATAAAGCGATTCTGTGGCGTGTTGAATGTTTAGCATCTCGACCTATCTAGGCCGCCTCAATTCATCACTATTCGGAAAAATTCCTAGAAAGAAAGTAAAATTACGTGGAAATACTCATGGAAAAAGCTGACAGCCAGCAAAATCAGTTGTATCCGCTATAATAAACAGTACGCTGCGCAGTCTGGCCCATCCCTACAAGTGCGCGTCGCTACATTCCTACCATATTGAGCAACTAAAAAAGTCTTTATGCTTGTATCAGAACAAACAAAAACAATATCAATAGGTGACTTTGCAAGTCCTATGCCAAACAAACTCTGGGTACAAATCAGATATGCTTAACAATGATTACGTAGAAAATGAGGTGCTTAATTGACTCATTATTATATCAGAATCGTCTCGTTACTTTCAAGCTTTATACTGGGCAAAACTGTCATTATGCTATCTGCAATATAGACTCCGACTCCTTGTCGTTGTGGATACGAATCTGACGAATCAAAAATTAGGCAATTAAATCCGTAAAGGCACAACTGCACTCACATGCGAATCCTTGAAAATAAAATTCCACAAAGCTGGTGAAACTTCAGAATAACACACCCGTCTGCTGTCCTCAGCTAAATACTCGACTAAAACCGCGTTTTTTTCGTCAACAGCCTTAATTTCTCTCTTAATCAAAACACAGCTTTTAAAAAAGCCATAGATAAACCTTTTCCATTTCTATGATCAATTCTCGCATGACATCCCGCGTACTTCCACAGAGCATTTGCGTGAAGTTCGAAAGACGATGTTCTGCTTCAACTAAAGCTCGACATTCGGAATTGCGTACCTAGAAAATGAATGCCCTGGACGTGTTAAACTGCTTTGTAATGAAGTTTTTTTGACCTTCTGCTTATTGTTATATATCAAAGATGGAGTCCCAACTTTACACAGGAAAAAACTGTCAAGCGCATCAAGCTTTGTAAAACCGAAGTTCTAGCGCGATGCCAGCGTAGTGCTAGCTCAATTCTGTAGCATGGAACAGTGCGCATTGATTGCTGGACCTTGCCGGTGCAGTGCAGGGCTCAGTATGAGGTGGCTTTTTCAATTTTTCAAAAAAGAAGTCCCCTTAGATTTCGTTAAAAAATACGACATCACCTATGACGCGATCATGAATGGATCAAAACGAGTAACGAAAGATAATGGAACAAAACATAAAAACAACATTGAACAGGCGAGAAATAACTAAAGAGGTTGTATCCTCCGAATCTGCGGCATGCCGTGTCGGGCGCGCATCTCTGCGCGCTTGGAGCAGGCTTGCAGCCGCCATACAAAATATTTAGAGTGGTGTAACTAGGCGAGGAAGAGGGGGTTTAGGGAGATTCAAAAACTCAGTTTTAGGGTTTTTGGTGTAGAACAAAGTTATGTCAACATGTTGACGACGAGCTGTTTTTTTGACGTCTGTCCCTGTGGACGAACCGTTTGCGGACATTTTCACAGCCGGCTGCATGTATGTATGTATGTATGCAGTTATGCGTGAGGTACAAAAATGCAAGTGTGCGGGGAGCTCCGCCCACTTTTGGCAAGCCCCGACCAATTTTCAAAAATGCTGGAAATTGCTAAAAATCAATGAATTTGTGCAAATTCGGCATTTTTGAAAAGTGGGGGAAGTTTGCCAAAAGAGGGGCGGGGCCAACATGAAAAACTTCTGAGCCTAAATTGATTATGTGAACACAAATGGGAACTACTGTGCACATTAGAACTGGTATTTGGGGTGTCGCGCACCATTGCGACATCGTCCACAGGGAGAGACTGCCTGTCGCGCGCCATTGCGCGACACTGTCGTCAACGTGTTGAACGTATGAGAAAATCATGTGAAGAAAGGAAAATTTATGACTTTTCTTTTTACAGTCACCTCAGGGCTGTCCAGGTCGCTGGAAAGCCACCTAACTCCAAAAAAAGTTTGCCACGACTTCAGTTCACATAATTTTTTCATAATTTTTTTGTACATAGTCCTAACTTCCTATTGCCCATCTATACACCATTTTTGGGTCATTTCATTTCCTCTTCGCTGTAATCAACTCTTTTGTTTATGCTGAAACAGGAAATTTTTTGATTTTTGCAGGAATGGAATCGATATGGCAGGATTGACAAGTGGGTCCTCTACAGGAGATGAAAGGTAAAGGGATAAGACGAATGTGTGTGTGTGTGGGGGGGGTCTGAAGTTTCCGCTTAACGATATCCCCTTTGGTTTTTATTCCAAAACGATATCCAGCTTGCCCCGTAAGCCACCTATGGGAACGGCCATAGGTTGTCGGTGTTGTCGGTATTGTCGGGGTCAGAGACAGTTTAGAGAGTGCGCGAAAAGTGGAGGCTATCATGAGGTCCTAAAACGACGGGAACCTCGGCAACCCCGACAACATCGACAACACCGCAACCTGTGGCCGTTCCCTATGCGAACCCTGGTGCAGTGACACAGCGCTGGAACGGCGCCGGCACGAGCAACACTACAATCTAAGCGCTGCCCTCCCGAACAGTTAGTTTTCGCAAATGACGCGAGCATCCCTTCTTACCCAAGCACCTGTGCTTTAAGCAGAAATGCTTCAAAATGGGTCCTACTTTTAGGCAGACTGCGATGCTCTGCCAACACTAGAGCCGAAAGATAGAAGTACGTAGGCTACGTAAGTAAGTAGGCTATGTGAAATCCAACTCAAAGTGCAGAAGGTTGTCACAGGGGAAAGTAAGCGCGCACCTCTGACGTATTCTTATGTACATTTTAAGGAACTTTTGGTCAAAACATAGCCACTTTTCTAAAACAAACGAAAAAGGCGCATTCTTAAGTAAAGGCCTACAGTCTCTCCCGACAACCGCAACTTATGTGGTGTTCAAGGAGGAACAAGTCAACTAGGTTTCACATGCCCTGTATTTTTGTCGCAACCATCAATCGGCTAACAATAAGGCATAAACTCTGACTTAGTTGTGGAAAATTTGTGTGAGCGTTATTCCAAGATTGTTAACAGTTCTGTATTGACGGCTGACGTTTCGGCGTTTTCGCCTTCTTCAAAGTCTGGAAGTTGAAGTTATAAGCAACCCATTCCTTCAGAGACAGGAATGACTCAGAACACTTTCCGAGGGAAAGTTAACGCGAAACATCGTCAGAAGTACAAGGACCATACTCACCTTAGATAACACAAAGCGGAAGTCAGAAGACCACCTATATACAAGACTACGCCTCAGCTCTTTATATGTGCCGTGATGACCTGACCTCATATTCCCGCATAGGGACTGATAAGACGCGAGTTCCTCGTGATGGCGATACATTCCGCCTTTTCGTTCAATTTTGGAGTTTTGGCATTGATTTCAAAACGCCTTCAACGTTTTGCGAACGAGGAAATACAATCTGCGCGGCTTGATAAAAGCATAATTACACGACTCAAAAGCGTGCCTATCTGTCCAGTCCTGTATACTAATCAAGACGCACAAACCGCCGGCAGTAGGACTGAACTTCAAACAGCGCGCGACATTTTAAAGTTAAACCCATAATCAGTGGTCGGCGGCCCCACGGATAGAATAGCATGGTTCCTCAACATCATTTTGCTACAGCTCTTAAGGTTTGTCCCTACGCATCTCAGGAGTAGCAATATGCGACTCGAACGTCTGCGCAAAATGCGGCTTAGCCAAAACTGTGTCATCGAGTCATTTGATGTAACATCGTTGTACAAATGTATCAAATGACGCACTTCAGGCTACCTCGAATTACTCTCTGAGCACCAGTCATTGCTCCAGTTGCATGGGTTAAGCATCCACGGTATAATGACCCTTCCTTACAAATGCTTACAATGTACGGTACCCCGATGGTCAGGGCTTAATTACAAACAGTTAGGAGCTTGATGGAACATCGACTCGAACCTACTCTGGCCATTGTTTTCATGTCCAAGATTGAAGCGCCAGTGCCTGAGCGTAACCCTGCGTTATGGCAGGTATATCGATGATTGTTGCGTCATATGTCCCACGCAAACCGAAGTAGACATCTGCTTTAACATCCTCAATCAACAGCCGCCCAACATCGCATTTACCAGGGAAAAACCCACTGAAGAGTGTCTGGTGTTTCTGAATGTGCAGATTCAAATCAAGGGTGGGGATTATAAAACCAAATGGTATCGTAAGCCCAGTAGTAAAATATATTCTAATTTACTGTCTGCACATCCTAGCAGTATGAAAAGATCTATTGTAGCTAACATGCGTAAAACAGCTTTACGCATATCCTCCTTCGACGACAAACGCTCATGTTCCATCGCCTTGGCTCAGGGCGGATTGCGGCGTCCAGCGGCGATGCTGTGCGTGGGCGGGTGGGGCCCCGGGTTGCGTCGGGGTGGGGCTCGTGATCCGATCAGTGCCGCTGAGGTCCCCTCCTGCCTGCCTTTTATCTTTGATGAGTTGAGCGGTGCAGTGAGGTGCTGCGTACAACACGCGGTTTGCAAGGCGTGATAAGAGTGGTCGATATCCCTCCAGCTAATCTTAGACAGCAACTTGTTCGAAACCGCGCTTATGATCGTACCTGCCCTACTCCTGATTGTGGGGTCTGCCCATTTGGTAAAGAAGGTGACTGTATGCAGCCCGGGGTCATTTATCTTGTAACATGCCTTTCATGCGGAGATACATACAATGGCGAAAAGGGCGCCCACTTTGTTGTCGCATAAAAGAGCATGTAGATGCAATGGAAAATTTAAGAGCAGCTAAACCGTTAGGAAAACACCGTATAGTGGGTCATAACAATTCTAAGGTACAAGTTGCAGTAAGAATCCTGTCGTATTAACCCTAGATCCTCGCTCGCAAATCGTTGGAGGCGTTTTGGATTGATGCCAAAAATCCAAAAATGAACAGAAAGGAAGAATGTATCGCCATCACGCAGGAACTCGCGCCTTATCAGTCCCTATCCGGATTTGAGTCTTCTCCTGCCGTCTGAAAGAATGGGTTGCTTATAACTTCGACTTCCAGGCTCTGAAGAAGGCGAAAGCACCGAAACGTTAGACGTCAATACAGAACTGTCAACAGTCTTGAAATAACGCTCACACACCATTTCCACGACTACCAAAAATGCCAAGATTCAAAAACGATCAAACATGGGCAATCTGACTTTGTTGTCGTCCACAACAGCAGCTGAGATGCAAACAGCTGCATGGGCCAGCCTTGCGCCGGCTTCATCTCGAAAACGGGACTCCAATACTGCGAGATCCAGGAGGTACTGAAAGTTGAGTAAGACGACATGCGATATAAAACATTCTACATGCGAGTAGATTTTTCGCCTGATATAGTGTGCTCGCACTCAGGTAAAATGCTGTGAAATTCGCGAGTGATAGCTGCGCCAGTAATGCCGGCACTTTGGAGCGCAGTTGGCCGGCCTTCACAGGGGTATCTAGCTATTTGTTCACGCGCAAATTTTACCGCATTCCATCTGCAGTGCAAACACGCTATATTTAGCAGAAAAATCTGTTCGAGTGTACACTGCTCACATGTACAAAACGTGCTTGTTCTTCATTGCTGTGGAGGTGAGCCAACATGAAATTTGCAAGGACTAGCGGCGTCGGGAAGCATAAGCCACTAGCTAGCTCATGTATGATTCGTTTTTCAATATGGCAAAGGCGTTTCTTGTTTCTGCTGGCACCTGCGAGACCATTCAAGGTACCAGGACGCAAAGATTCATACTCTTCAATTTTCCTAAACGATTCGCATTCTCTAGAAGAAAACACGACTGTAAAAGAGAACTAACGTCCCCAGCACCATAGAGACGGCACAGACATCGGGTAGAGCTTGACATGCCACATGAAATGAGTCCAAACATTTATCCATTATATATGCGCCAAGATGTATAGATTCCTGGAAGTCCGCTTTCGAAAAAACTGTTACCGTAACATCCCGATACACATAACATGGTCGGAAACTAACCGCCGCGTATCCCATTTTCCGCATTTCTATAATAGCTTTCATTACTGCTGTTTTGCGAACTGTCTCCGTTACTCCGCCTAACTTTTGAGCTGCGAGGAATGACATGCCTATGGCATGCACCGTTGATTCTCTATAGCATAACCAATGATACGTCTAAAGATAAAATCTTCATGCATAGAAAACACAGTTAAAATTTACACTTACGTCTCTTGAGAATTCATTGCAGTAGCGCTCGAAGTCCAAGATAATTTTGTTGCTTCTCTTCGCCACATCATATGCAAAACATATTATAATAGAAAGATTTAGCATGCACGAATGAAAGCATCAAAAGGATTCACCGATTCCAGTCCCGTTCAACCTACATGCACCAAGTCGCCTTCGTTTAGGTGTTGGACTGTGGATGGAACTTCGGCTTGACGATATAGTACTCTGAAAAACCACATTATTCAAAGCTTCAGCTGAGCATGGGTTATTCACTGAAAATTACTCTCATTCTGGAAACTCAAACGTAACCGACTGCGCTCATTCTTTGATCACGCATTTATCGCAAATTTATATTTTAGCTTCATGTTGCACAGTCACTGCGTTCATCTCATTAAATTAGATAGAGGAAGGAGTGATCATACCAAACTTGTAAATCTAGTCGTACAAGAGGAAATCAATTATCATTGATAAGTAGCGTGCTGAAATGCTTTTGGAAGCTATATTTTGAAACTGAGTTCGCGCATCGCAATTTTAAAGCGACAGAACGGCCAGCAGATCAACTATGCAATCTTACCACAGGTGAAACACTGCTCCCGCTTACTTCGGTTGTGTGGGCAAGTGGATGACCACGACCATCACGATGATTTTCTTGACCTTCAACGCTAAAATGAATACTTTGAATGATACATATACGGGAGAAATGAGTATCCGAAGTGCCGATTCGGGATATGCTGCACGTCGGATAAAGTTTGAAAAGCTAAACTCAGATTACCGTCCAAATCTGCCAGAGTTTTTTTTTTGGAAAAATGTGTAAGCTCTTCTAGAGCGCGAAAGGGATGGCCTATGTACTACACTTTGAACCCGAATCATATAAGAATTCTGCCATTTGCATGGAACATTCGAAGTGCTGGAAAAGTCTTATCTCTGAATTTTTGATTCTCGAATAAGATTCGAAATTTGAACCATGCACGGCTTTGCATCCAGATACTCGGATTCTAGAGAACGATACCTCGGATAAAAACCGAAAACTCAACTTGTTGGAAAAGCGCTTTCTGAACGGATAATAATCGAATTCTTCAGTCAAATGTTTAATCAAACGTAAATGAGCTTGTATGAAGCCAAACGTCTGAAGACTTCTCTACTCAATGCAGGATACTTTTTCTTTCACCGTCCCATCCATGCTGGACTGGATAGCAAAGACATCGTTTTCTTTGACGATCGGAAAAGAGCTCTATGACGACAGCTCCGAAATTCAAACTGAATCCTCTGTCTTTGCTTTGTCAGTCTTGAATAAAGTTGAAGATTGACTGAAAAATTTCGCCGAACGAACGAATATCGAATAATCGGCTTTTGAAAAATATTCGAACAAACGAACAATTCGATCTGTGATTTTTAAATTATTCGAATTCAAACATTCGAATAAGCTCATTTCATGATTCGAATGACCGAATATTCGAATAAATGGGGTTGGTCGAATATGCGACTATTCGAACAATTCGAATAATCTGGTGGCTCAAACATTGCTGGTTTTTCTTCTTTGTTGCAGTTTTCCGCAGAAAAATTAGTCGCTACATTTGATCTAGATTTATAGCTGATAATCAAGCGTAGCAAGTGGCAGATGACTGGGTTATTGCCGGGTCAGGGTTCTACCTAGAAAAGTGAGAAGAATTTCTTCAAACATTCACTTCAACGTTTTTATTGTCCTTTAAGACGGTTACTAAGACTTAATAACCTTAACGACCGTCTCAAGTTCGCATTTATTCTTCCTCCATAAGTTTCTCCCAAAGCTACACAAAACCTCCCAAGGCTACAGATTCAACATGGAAAAGCTTTCGGATTGGATAGTTGTTTTTAATTTGATCGTAATGGTCAGCATTGCGTGCTAAGACTAGCACTGGGAGAGCGCGAAGGCCTACAGTTTCAAAATCAGTGAACCTCAGCAGCAGAGATGACGTACAATTGTCTACATAATACGTGCGCATCTAAATCCAGAAAAGGAATTCATGGAAATATCTGCATATTAGCTGCTAATCTAACACCTGTCAAAAATTATCAATCGCTGAGTTTCACAGTTTATGTTGTAGATGGAATATTCACAGTTATTTGAGCTGCATTTATGAAGTTAGTACTGTTGCTTAAAATCTTCCACATCTTTTACTCAGGTTCTGAGTAATTATTGTTCAACCTACTCCAAGTACTATTCCTCTATAGATTTTGCAACATTTTAACTCTAGTTTTTCCACGCCTCCTAACTACAAAGGCAGCCGATTCGAGTATGGTGACTGATATATAGGCTGCCGCCACAAGTCAAGCGGCTCAGGTCCTCGCTACCGCCTTGCTCTGGCCTTGCGCTGCGCTAACGCTTCTTCCAAGCCCTCTACTATAGCGGCAACAAAATTTTGTGGGGGGAAACTGATTTCATAAAAGGAATGAAGTCGGTCCCCCTGAACAGTTTGGGATGTCTCTCGAATTTTTACCCGCTTGCAGCCCCAAATTCACAGGGAAAAGTGAGTGCCCACAAACAATCTTACTCTGATCTGCGAATGTGACTTATAAATGTCCTAACAACCTAGTGACATAGCATTAGACCTTTTCCACTTAACCATCCCTATTTACGCCAACAAAGCAGGCGATAAATAGCTTTACAAATTTTTTTCCATAAAGAAAATGAGTTGAGGTCAGGTTCCAAACTTTGTCGTTCCTCCCTGATCTTGATATCTTGATTTCAAATGTCACCTTACTCAAGATTCAAAGTAGTTTAAACTCTTGGTTTGTGTTGCCTGCGTTACACCACAAATGTAATTTCATTCCAGATGTTTTTTGCATCTCAGCGAACGCAACATGATTGTGGCAGTGTTCAGTAAATCTACTTACCAGGCTTTTTCTATGTGTAAAAAGACGCATCCGTACAGATATTGAAGGAAACCGCCAGATTACCATAGTGCTCATCTATACAGAGCTGTTGCTTAAGTGCCATAGTTAAATTTACTCATAACGCGAAAAAAGCTCAAAAGCTACCTATGGTAAACAAGGCTCACTTAGGCCCGTATGCACGTACATCCCCGCGGGGAGGGGAGGGGATCTGAGAGGGGAAGTGTCATATCTCGCTAGTCTATATATCTCTCTTCTTCTTTCTCTATCTTGCTTATGAAGTTCCTCATACACTGATACCTGCGCATAACGGATGCCAGGTTACTGCCATACAAGATTAGATATTCACAATTTCTATACCTCACATTTTCAAAGTCATTTATCTCCCTGAGAATCAATGAAATTTCTTCAAAATTGTACTGAGGATATACTACGGCGCTGCTAAACATGTTTATGGTAGAAATGAGTGAAATCTCAAAATATCAAAATCTTCGATGAACCGCTGCTCGCGAGCCAGGGATCATCGAAAAAATCAGAATCTTCAGATTCCATTTCTTCTGTCGAAAACATGTTCAGCAGTATCGTAGTATATCTTCCGTACAGTTTTGCAGCGTCTTCATTCAGTTTTCAGGTAGATAAATAACTCTGAAAATGTGAGGTGATCCCCTGGAGATCCCCAGGGGATCAGAAGAAATAGTGAATATCTAATCTTATATGGCTAACCTGGCATCCATTAGCGCAGGTATAGGGGTATGAGAAACTTCATAAGCAAGATAGAGAAAGAAGGAGAAAGATACATAGACTAGCGAGATATGACGCTTCCCCTCTCAGATCAATCCCCTCCCCTCCCCGCGGGGATGTACTCAGATAATCGCCGGTGGCAGGCGGCCATGCGATTGTGGGCGGGCGGGCACCGGAGAAATAGTGCGCTGATTTCTTGCGGTCCGCTTGCAGATATTTGGAAGAATTTTAGCAAAATTTTAGACGAATGCTTGGAGAACAATTGCGGTTTTCTTATAGATTAGCTGCGGCGCAGTGGCCGCATTCTCGCGGACTTTCCGCGAGAATATGCAAAATTTTCGAGGGCCGCACTCTTCTTTGTGGAGGACCGCGCAGCCCCCATGTACTTTCCTCTGAGAGGAAGTACCTCAAACTTGAGTAATAACCAACGGTGTCACCTCTGCCACACAGAGTCTTACCTGTGCTCGACGTATGCCCGAAACTGCGTTAGAAGAGTCCGAGCGCCTGCTGAAAATTCGGCCAACGTTTGCGGAAAGAGATTATTTGACGAGCGCCAGCAGAAAATTCTGTGTTGCTGCCCGCTGGCAGAACATTAGACAGTGAAGGAAGTACCGCTCGCTGAAGGTTTGGCCACGCCCCAAAATCCTGCTGACCGCTTGCAGAAAAGCGCGAGTTTGCGTATCGCATGCCCCCGGCGATTATCTGAGTACGTGCATACGGGCCTTAGAGAAGATTTCCCACTAATGCTTAGCAGCATTCAGCAAAATTGAGGTCCATGAGACGCTTTGCTTTGCTCAAGCTGCATTTTCGGACTGAGCGATATTAGGTGGGTCCGAAAGTTCGTGCCGTCTTCTAGACCTATTCTGAAATCGTTCGAACTGATGGTAGACAAATCATGTAAAGACAATCCGATGCAGAATTTCTTCCTCTTTCCAGCAGCTATGTTTCTGTTGTGACTGTTTCGACGAGCGCTCAGGTAAGTGCCAAAAACTAGAACCCTTCATATTACCCTGACTTTCGCTAGTTTTCAGAATTTTCATTTTTCAAGATGCTCGAATAACCACCTGATAAGGCAAACCTTTTTCAAACCTATGCAATTTTTTGCATTTTTTGAGCTTCCTCTTTAGAATTTTGCTGAATTATTTTAGCAAGGCATTGAATTTTGAAAAGATTACGTGACACATGATTGCACCAACACTGTGGAATTCCCAAAATATTGAAGTTCTTGAACTCGGCTATTACTATCACTGGTATTACGAAGTAAATGAGCGATTACGGCGTGAAAATAGATAGATTTTAGAAAATTCGTCTACAACCTTGCGCATCCGTAAAATTGGGAAGTACAGCGATTTTGTCTGCAAAAGTCTATGTTTTGCAAGCAAAAGGAGCTGTCAGAAAGAGGGGAAAAAATGCATTAAATGATACCTAAACTGTTCAACGGCTGTTGTTTTGCGAGGTTAGAATGAGCCAAATATAAATTTTGGTCACTACAGAAAATATACAGAAAGCATGCCAGAGAGATTCAAAAGATTGCATTGATTTGAAAAAGATTTGCCTTATCAGGTGGTTATTAGAGCATCTTCAAAAGTCTAAAATGAAAACTCTGAAAATTAGCGAAAGTCAGACATGGTAAAAATGAAGGGTGCTAGTTTTCGGCAATTATCTCAGCGCTCGTCGAAGCAGCGGATGCATAGCTGCTGGAAAGAGGAAGAAATTCTGCATCGGATAGTGTTAAAACGATTTATCTATCTTCATTTTGAACGATTTTAGAATAGGTCTAAAAAACGGCACAAACTTTCGGACCGACCTAATATATTAAGGTGTCTCTTAATTTTTCACCGTTTTCACTACAATCATCGTCTTTTTGTATCTTTACTTCAACTGATGGGTTTGAGTAATCATTCAACAGGGCAAAGCAAGTTCTACGAGATGGCTATGAGTCCGCCCAGATATCCCATTCCACTGAAGTTTCCCGCTGTAATCTGATAGCAGTCGAAAACGAACTTAGCCGCCAAAAATCGTATCTCCGCCCCAAAAAATATCAATAATTCCTCATTTATCCCAGCATGCGCCCTGACACATCGGACATTCAAATGCACACTTTCTGTAATTTTTCCGCGGATAGAACTAAAGAAAAAAAATGAGTAAAGTAAAACGGCAAACTCTGCCCTTGGACGTCCTGAGATCCTCTCACGGACGTGATCACATAGCTTCGACACAAAGTACGACATGTGTGTATATGTACCCCTTCTAAGTGTCCCAATTCTCGAGAAATACTGGTGTCTAAGGTAAAAACGGTAAAAATTCATGAGGCACCCTAATACTTGCCCAAACACTGCGTTGAAATGAAAGGCAAAAGGAGTCGCTGTGTGCCCATTCGACAGAGACTGCGACGCATGATAACTGTCTATAACCTCGCAGCCGGCGACAGCCCAGATTCTAACTAGGATAAAACAAAAAACTCATTCTTTAAATCAACAAATGAAAAAGGTCGAATAACACGAGACGACCTACTTGCACTCTGCATACTGCAATTCTTGAGGAATGTTGTATAGTGAACCCGGAGTGCTTCCGCATTGCGAAAAGAAATCTGTTAAAAAAAAGCAATCGAAGCGGTCACTCTTATGCTAGTTATATTTGCGTGAACGTACCACTAACAGCTTCGCTGCTTCTTTGAGTAAGACTTATGTCGCCGACAGTGAAACCCGAGTCGGACGCATGGTCCGTGTATTCCGTAGGTGGAGAAGCCAGAAAATCATCAACGGGACTCCAGTGCAACTTCTCGCTATCGCCTACTCCGTCACGAATATGTGTACTGCAGGAGTGTCCAACTTTCTGGCAAGATTTGGGACTTGTTAGAGATTGATTGGACGAGCATGAAGAATATCCTTCAGAATGCGCTCTGCCGCTCCCATGAAGACGTGAATGGTAGGCTGTGAACTGACTTTCACCAGCAATGAAAATATTCGGCATCAAAGGTGATGGACGAGGCTTAAGCAATGATGTCGCATCCACTCGATTGCGACACAGCTTTTTGACATTATGGAAAGCGTCGATAATCGTAGGTGATTTTCTTCCGTGAATATCATCAAGCAATGTTGTAGAGAAGAACTTCTAAACACTTTTATTGGATGGGAAAAATTCAACGGCATCATCTTAGTTACGTTAGATTGATGTAAAAGCTCATAATTACAAACTTAGCTGGACTGTTGGTTAGTGAGGTCAACTAAGATCTTGAGAGTCAAACTCGCTGTGCGTGATGACGCGTGTTGTGAAGTTACGGTAGGTACAGTGCGTCTCAACCACTTGCTCCCCTTTCCGTAACAACTACGCATCCGCAGCGCATGGGCATTGCGCAGAGATCTCCGATCAATGCGGGAGATCTGTGGCCGTATTCATCAACGAACCCAGTGGGTGAGCGGAAATAGACCCCTTGAGTTGGATCGATATTCAGAAAAAGCATTACTGGGTATGCGAACCCACTAGCTTCGTGAATACCAATCTCGTGGGTTAAGCCTACCCAGTGGGTTCCGGAACCCACTGGGTTTCGTTGCTGAATACGGCCACTGAACGCCCACGCGGTACGTCCGCGAACGCGGCACGGAACTCTAACGGTGCTGAGTGGAAAACACATCGTTGATACAGACTACATGCACTATGGGATCATGAAACGTGGTAAGGCTGAATGGAGTTGTTGGACATGTCACTTACGAATGTCATACACTTGCTGCAGTAACGATTCACTGTGGAGATAAGCTAGTTATAGTTCCTACAGTGTACAAAACATCTTTTGCGCTCTTTCGTCAACAGATTCTTATAGCTAGTGAAAAGGCCTTACTATGCGTAAAAAGTAGGGTATTTAGCGTTCATTCTTCCCATTGCAAAGAGCTCCAGCCAAAGATGTTTCGCCTACTCCGAGTTGAAAAAGACTTACCTATCGTAACTACGTAAAGGCCTCAACTTGCACAAAGGACAGAATTTTTATGATTAGCATCCCGATAAATCTAGACCAAATTTCAGCCAGATCCTTTTCATCTCTTACCTCTTACCAAATAGTTACCGTAACAAGTAAATGGCACCAAAATAATTCCGAACAAAGTCTACAGTTTCTCGTCATCTCAAAATGTCTCTCTCATAAAACACTCAGACAAACTTCTAACTGACCGAGGTAAACATGCCAAGTCATCAGAAGAATGCCAAGATTGATAGCTTACGCATGCAATGACAGTCGCTAAGAACTCACAGAATCCGTCAAGAAGGATTGATTCGTGGTTGGCTCACGAAGAAACGTGCAATCGTTGACACATTCGGCAGCTAATTTCTCTCCGGATTCAATTGTACAAGCAGAATCGGCAGGGGATGAAAAAAGGTCATCTGAAAATGTTCCTGGTGTATTCCCGCAAATACTCTAAATGTTTCGTATGCAGCCTGCTAGACTGTATCTGGCCCGTATTTGAGAGATGCCCTTGTTATGGAGTTATCAAGCTGACACACTTACCTTCTACGGTAGTAGAAAGCGGGACCGTCAAATATAAACTCACAAAAATATTCTTGATTGCATCAGTAAAGGGCGCCAGAAAGATTTAGGAGAGGGATCAAGCTTTTCAAAAATTTAGAAATCTTCGTGAAATTTTCCACAAGCTAGGCGAAAAATAATTTCAAAAAAAAAAACCTCGCAAGTAAGAAAAAATTCGTGGAATTTTTCAAAAAGAAATCCCAGCATGCATGTACCGCTCAAGATTTTCAATATATGACCGATGAAAAAGGGACCGTAGAGTGCATAGAATGGCAGGAGCTAGGCATGTGTATCAAAAGGCATTGCAACAATTTCCTATGCACAATTTGTCTCTGCTCGCTGAAATCAAAATTGTGATAACCTCCGCTTCGTAAGTTTTTCGCACCATACATGGCTGCAGCTGTATTATTTCGGGGCAGACTCATTTGTGCATCTCCTCATTCCGAATTTTTGGCAAAATTCCTAACTCTGCGCTCTTCCTACAAGTGGAGGAAGTTCCCTTGGAGCGCCGCTTCAGGAAGCTTTTCGACTCTGTGGAGACAAGGAATGTCATGTGGAGTGATGCATCCCATCGCCTGAGGCTTTGCGAGAACAGAGTTGGCATTTTGCCAAGCAAAGATGGGAAAATGAGGAGAAGCTGCGCACCACTGGCCACGGCATGATACAATGCCGTTGCGATACGGTGCAGATATTTAGTTGTGGGACACCCTCTTCATCGATTCCACCTAGTCGCAGCCCCATCAGCTTACAAAAGCTGCGCACTTGGATTCCTCAAACGGTACATTTGCAGACATCTGACAGATTGCCAGATCGCGTGGTACCCCCCCCCCCAATTTCGAAAAGTCCCTCGAGATGTGACAGGAGCCACACTGCAGGCTTGTAAGCACATACCCAACTACCCGTTTAACAGAAATGGCAAAACGATAGGGAGTAAGTTACAGGATGCTTGCAGGCTGATGTGTGCAATTAGTCAGTTGCCTCCAGTCGGGTCCAAAATGCTCGCTTAAAGGCGCCGTCCACCCAGAATTTCGACCTCTATGTTTTTGCCGTTCCAGGTCCTTCTCATACCCTGATTCCAAATATCAAGTCGGAAATCCGCGAAAACCACGAAAAGCCCCCGTTTTCAGAACCCACAGAGCGATTTCTTCGGAACGGTGATTGGTTGTACGCGCACGGATGGGAGGGACGCGAACGTCACGCCCATCAAAGAGGAGGAGCCAACGTGGCATCTGTCTTTCTCGCTTCGGAAACAATTTTTGCCCACGCGAGTTGGATAACTATACAGTTGGGGGCCCCACTACTGTTAGGCATTAAAATCTCATCGAACCCATTTTGGGTGGACCCTGATGCCTTCAAGATTGCACCCGTCTGGGCGGCGATTTGACGAGGCTGGCGCTAATTCCTGTTCTAACTCGCCCAGCAAAACACTTCTGACAATCAAAAGAAGGCTCAAAAAGCGTGCAAGCTCAGCAGAATGGTGGAGGGTGCCGAGACACTGCATGTGCCAACGTTAGCAAACTTGCAAATAATGGGTGCAAAATTCTTGCTAGGCAGACAAAGTATTCGTTTTCGTGCTATTGTGAACAAAAAAATAGGTAAAACAAATTGCCATGAGAGTAAAACAGAAAGAAAAGAAATTTATTGACCCGAAAAAAAAAACCAATAAGATGAACTACCTTGTAGGAGGATCAGCTGACCTCCATAGCCTTTTACGGGTTCCTGCTTCACATTGCGATAAGATGAACACAGATTTGTATCCGACATAAAAGGCTTGCTCAGAGATAGTACATTGTGCATCAGTGATCAAGAAAACTCTTCTGTAAAAATTCAAAATAATTTGCCGGCAAAAGACATTGCGAATGTTGATAATTCTCATATCGTCTAAATTTCGTGATAGATAAATGTAGGAATTCAGAAAGTTCATATAGAAATGCAAAAACTTCCAGCGAAGATGAAAAGATGAGCAGAGGACAGTGATAAGAAGACATTTGCATAAGGAAACATAGGGCAACAAGCTAGTAATTTGCAGTTGCTCTTTCTTAACATATCAGAGTAAAACATGCAGATCTTGCACACTTTTACAAGGCACATGGAGACAGAAGGGGAATATGAATTGATAGCGAAGCGACAGATACAAAAGAAGTTCACAAACACTGTAGCAAATCTGGAAACAGTAAGAATATCGCAACCTGCACATTATGTCCTATGCTTTTCATAGATCATGCGCACAAGAACTGCCGACGACATAAATGTCGAGGTATCTATGTACCGTCGATTCATTGACCGCACGAACTGCTCAAACGCTGCGGACCACGTGCGGCGCGGCTAATTGTAGCGAGTGCACGACTTGTACAGTCGGTTTCATCCCGGATTAGGCGAAAGATTCTAGGTGGAGCAGCGCGTGCGCATCGCAGGAGGCTTCGCGAGCGCATAGCGCTGGCATTTTGCCAAGCAAAGGCTGAGGAGAATGAAGAGACGCAGACTTGGGTTCTCAGCGCGATATGATATACTGTAGCTGCGAAACGGCGCGAACAGTTGCGAGGCGGACGCCCGCCAATCCAATTTCCGCCTAAAGCGGGTCGAAACTCACTGTACAGTCGATTTCACCCCAGATTAGGCGAAACATTCTACGTAGCAGCGCGCGCGCATCGCTGGAAGCTTCGCGAGCGCATGACGCTGGCATTTTGCCAAGCAAAGGCTGAGGAGAATGAAGAGACGCAGACTTGGGTTCTCAGCGCGATATGATATACTGTAGCTGCGAAACGGCGCGAACAGTTGCGAGGCGGACGCCCGCCAATCCAATTTCCGCCTAAAGCGGGTCGAAACTCACTGTACAGTCGATTTCACCCCAGATTAGGCGAAACATTCTACGTAGCAGCGCGCGCGCATCGCTGGAAGCTTCGCGAGCGCATGACGCTGGCATTTTGCCAAGCAAAGACTAAGGAGAATGAAGAGACGCAGATTTGGGTTCTCAGCGCAACATGATCTACTGTAGCTGCGAAATGGCGCGAACCGTTGCGAGGCGGACGCCCGCCAATCCAATTTCCGCCTAAAGCGGGTCGAGACTTACTGTACAATAACAAATTTGTACTGGGGCAAGCGTTTTACCTCGCGTCGCGTGCTCCGCGGTGATGTCCCGTCCGTGCGGTCAACGAATCATCTATACAGGGCATTCGAGAAATCGCGACGATGGCTCGACCGCGCGCAAAACGCACGGACCTGCGGGCAACCACATTTTCGTGGTTTTCATCTCTACTCGAATGGTTTTTCTGCTTACGTATGACAGTATTTGGAAACACAGGTGCGATAGTGTGAGACTTTTCTCACCCCCTCTTCACCCCTGAGCGGGGACCAAGGTGACCCCCTTCACCAAAAGCCGAGAAAAAAATCAACAGTGAGGTAAGGTTAAGCAAAGGAGATATTTGTACGTGAATTGTCAGTGTATAGGAAAGGAGGAGTCTGTTGAAAAAAGTGCTTGGTGACGGGTGTGAGTAATGATTTCTAGAGATTTTCGGGTTTTTGACATTAAAAAATTCATAACTTTTGTAGATGAACGTCTTTTACGGCGAGATAGTCACCATTAGAACCGCCTCCTTATTCGCTCTCAGAAAATATACAGCATGTTTGAGATTTCTTTTAAAAAAGTGCGTGGTGAAAGATGTGCCTAGCGATTTCTGGGAATTTTCGAGTTTTCAGGATAAAAAAATCCGTGACTACTGCAGATGAACAGCTGGTGCAAGGAAATAGTAACCATCGGAACCGCCTCGTCCTCCGCTTTCAAAAAATATATGGCATATCTGAGATCCATTCAAAAAAGTGCCTGGGTGAAGGGTGTGCTTAGTGATTTTCAAAGATGCTCGATTTTTATCATAAAAAAATTCATAACTTTTTAAGATAAACATCTTTTACGCCGTGATAGTCACCATTGGAACGGTCTCGTCCTCCGCTTTCAGAAAATTTATACTTTGCTTGGGGTCCGTCGAAAAAAATATCGGGTGAAGGGTGGGTGAGACTTTTATAATGGGAGTGCTCAAGTAGACGCCTTTTTACAATGGTAAAGCTTGTACTTGAGCACACTCCCATTATAAAAGTCTCACCCACCCTTCACCCGGCACTTTTTCTAATGGACCCCGGGCAATGTATATATTTTCTGAAACCAGAAAACGAGGCGGTTTCAATGGTAGCCGTTTCGGCGTAAATTATGTTCATCTTCAGAAGTTACGGATCTTTCTATCCTGAAAACTCGAAAATATCCAGAAATCATTACCCATACTCTTCACCAGGCACTTTTTCAACAGACTCTAGGCAAACTATGTATTCTCTAAAAGCGGAAGACAAGATGGTTTCAAAAATATTCACCTTGCTGACGTTGCTGTTCATCTACAGAGATTACGAATTTCTTCTTTGAAAAAAATTCGTAAATGCTTAAAAATTGTCTAACTCTTTCCGAAACAAATGTTCGCATGCACATCAACTATGGTAATTCCAAAACTGGGGAGGGCGATGTAAAAAAGGGAAAAGAAATGTAAAAAAATACAAGGTGCTGGTAAGAAATATGATTGTATGCTAATCCAGCAGCGTATCACTTCACATTTCAGAAAAAAGACAAACAGTGATGGTAAGGGATTGGAAATTATGAACTTTGACTGGAAAAAATGATGGCTCTCCCCCCCCCCCGTCGACATTTTACGATTTCTTTTCCAAGTAAAACACCCTTCACCCTGGAGGGGTTGCGACCCTGTGACCCCCTTCACCCTGGAGAAGTCATTCTCACCTTATCGCACCTGTGTTTGGAAATTGGGAATGACTGAGCTGAGAGTTGAGGTGACGCCTTTGTGTACGAGTGTTTCCTGCTGTGGGCGCAAAGAGCACGGCTAAATCCGTCGTCACGATTTTATAGACGAACTGTATAATATCTACTGCATGACGAAGGCGGTTGCCCGGATAGATTGAAGGCTGTCGCGCACGCGGCGCGCGGACAGTTGTCAGCCATGGAGCGCGCGCAAGCTCGGTCAGCGATCATCCACGGAGCACGCGCAGCAGACGGAGCGCGGCTGTCCTGCTGGAAGGATGCGCAGGAGGAACCAAAGGCCTAGCCGTTATTAGAGGCGCGAGCACTGCGCCGGAGATTTGGCCACGATCCAAGAAAACTTGGCAGGATTCCGTAAATGTTCGTCAGAAAACTTACCTCGTAACTACGCTGGGGAAAACGCTAGAGAAATAAGTGGGGCAGTTTTGTAATCTGCGTTTTCAGCCGCATTTATAGGAGAAATGAAAGCGGAATTCACTTTTCATTTACATTCAACCTTTGCACATGAATAATATCCCCAGAAAAACATTAGCTACGTCGAAGTACTTACACTCAAGTTTCAAGATTTTTAAGAATTATTGAATGTCAAGAAACCGAAGTCGTCAAATCGTGACGCTGAAAATCGGTACTAGAAAATTGAAGATTAAGAAATTGTTCACGAAATCTTGCTAGCATTCAACATGATCCATCTGAAAACCATAATTGTAAATCTACAACTTACAGAAAATTTTACGTCAATGTGATGCAAATTCTCAATTTCTGAAAAATTTCCAATTTGGTTCAAAATTTTGCAGTCATTTAATTTATTAATTCAAGGTTTCATCTTGGACTGCTGACTTTAAGTTTACCTTCCCCTCCATTTTCCAACTTGAATCGTGAGAATTCTTTATGGCGAGTTTTTCGAATGACAGTTATTTCATTAAGAGAAGCCATGAAAAGTGGATTTCAAAACTTTTACTCGTAATTCTCGTGCTTTTTCCTAAGCAGAGTTATGAAATACGTTTTCATATGGTCTCCTTCAAGTTTCTTTGCTAAGTTGTTTTGGATCCTTGCCAAATCCTCCCCACAGTGCTTGCGCCCTTAATTGCCTCCTGCGGATGAGCCGGCAGGGCCTTTGGTTCCTCCTGCTACGCCGCCGTCCTGCTGCGCGCTCTCCGTGGATGACCGCTGACCGAGCTTGCGCGCTCCATGGCTGACAATTGCCCGCGCGCCGCGTGCGCGACAGCCTTCAACCTATTTGGGCAACCGCCTTCGTCATGCAGTAGATATTACCAAATTGTCGGTTAAAACTCGCTGTCCGGCGATGTCAAGTATATACAGTCTGTCCCAATTGACGATACTTGTATCTACACATGGCTGCGCAAAGCGCGTCCCATGCCCCAACGCAAATTTCTCCAGCGCTCGGGATCCTCGCTGTTGGGCCACGTTAGACTTCGTGCACTTAACTCTTAACACTCTTGACAAACATAATATGGAACGTAATGTGTTTCAATATTTTTCAGGTCGTCCATATAGTATCAATGTCTCATATGCTTCTTCTTTGACCCTGATTTCAGGTAAGCTTGCTTGAAGAATTGATGCACATGAGGAATCTGCGACATTAAACAATTCAGAGCAACCCTTTAACGCATGTTACATCCCAAAAGAGGATTTACGGGAAAAATTTCAATTTTCTTTGTTTCTCGAAGACTGGTACCTGAAAATAGAGTCGAAGAATTGAGCACAGCAGTATAAAACATTTTTTATAAAAAAAATAATCGTCAATCATAATCATGAAGAATGTTGAAACACAAAAAATAGCACGCATTGACGAAAAAACAAAAAGAAAGGATGCGTAGGCTTGAACTGCGGGCTGAAGAAGCTGTGCTCTATCGCAACCAGCGTGCTCAAATTCAAATTCGAATCTGCCCACCTAGCGACTATTGGGTGAGGACCGCTATCGTCACATTCCTTCAACTAATATTGATTGGCCTCGGGCAGAGTTCACGCGAATTCATCGTCGC